TGTGTGTGTGTGTGTGTGTGTGTGTGTGTGTGTGTGTGTGTGTGTGTGTGTTTGTGTGTGTGTGTGTTTATATAGCGTAACGTAATTTAATTTGATGTTGTTCCTATATATCAACAAATATAACTGTTATGTTAAAGCGTGTCTCCACCTAAACCAAATACTGACACCGGCACGCCCCTTGTCTCTGATTCATAATTTACTTGTAATATCCTGTATTTTTTCTTGAATTACACACGTTTAGGGTTAAAACGGGCCATTCTTCGGATAGGTGAACACATCCTTACTAGTTAAATGTTTGAGGTTGTGTATGTGCTGTTCTAATTTTGGTTTCATTCTGTTGTGAAACCTCTATTTTTCACTCTTTTACACTCTGTGTGGTTACAAATGATATTCTGGATGCTTTAAAAAAAAGCACAAGAAATTCTGGGGCTTTTGATTAAGTTACCTCTATCAAAATTTTGCTGCATACATCTTCACAGAGTTGAAAGCTTGAAAATTAATAGCAACTTTTACGGCGACTTTTGCCCTTTTGTGTGGCAACTTTTGGCAACTTTTAGACCAAAAAAAAAATGGAAACAAAAGCGGATGCTAGAATAAGGCAAGAGCCACAGATGAAAGCTCATACTTGAATAAAGAAGATTCAAGGGGGACCACGGACGCAGGCCATTGAAAGCAGTCCCTGGTACATCTCAGACAATGACATAAACATGTTGTCGGTCTTGATTTGCACAGGTTTACGCATCACCTTGAATGTGACAGCTTGGTCACCTTTTCTTAAAGGAAACCTTGCCATAGCACATATACCAGCCTTTTTAGCATGTACTTTCCAGCCTATCGTAAGCGCATCACCAACGTAGATCCTGCTATCGGCGACCATACCAGCTGTAGAAATATGAGTGAAAGTACCTTTCCCTGAAGGTTTGAACTTGAACATACTGTGCCCCTCCAGAAAGGACACAAACTGCTTCAGATCATCAGTGTCGCGTCTCCGAGAAGCCAGATGCATTTCTCTTTGATGCTGTGTGAAACTACCAGTAGTAAGTCCGGTGACAGTTGTCGATGCATGCGTAGACCTATAACTGAGCGACGTTGTGGGGCTCCACAAGCCATTTCATTTTAGCCGATTCTTTGAGTGTTAGGTTGATAAGGCCACCGTGTGCTTTTCCAGCTCGCATAAGACATTGTTCAGTTGTCATGTCCAGTGGCGGCTCGTGGTTTATAGAACTGACCGGCCGTCATTCACGTCGACTATTTCTCCCTCCCCCACCCCTTTCCTTCACAACACACACACA